TGTGTATATATGTGTGTGTATATATATGTGTATATATGTGTGTGTATATATATGTGTATATATGTGTGTGTATATATATGTGTGTATATATATGTGTATATATGTGTGTGTATATATTTGTGTGTATATTTGTGTGTATATATGTGTGTGTATATATGTGTGTGTATATATATGTGTGTATATATATGTGTGTATATATATGTGTGTATATGTATGTGTGTATATATATATGTGTATATGTGTATATGTGCATATATGTGTGTATATATGTATGTATATATGTATGTATATATGTGTGTGTATGTGTATGTATATATGTGTGTGTATGTGTATATATATATGTGTGTGTATGTGTATGTATATATGTGTATGTGTATATGTGTATGTGTATAAATATGTGTGTATATGTGTGTATGTGTATATATATATGTGTATATATATATATGTGTATATATATATGTGTGTGTATGTGTATATATATATGTGTATATATATATGTGTGTGTATGTGTGTATATATATGTATATATGTGTATATGTATGAATGAAATATAGCCTTCTGCTTTTATATTCTCTACTATATTAAAGGCTTCTAAAGTGTCTGATTACCCAGGAAATTAATAAATTGGATTATTTATCTCTTCCTTGTAAGAGGAGTTTCCATCATTAGGTACAAAAACAATGTCTGAACTTGATTCCAAAAATATAAATGTTTGCAAACCGTAGAAACTTTTATTGTGATGATATATGCAGCATTGAGACAAGCTAACACTCACTTGCCGTCAGTGGGGAGGAGACAGAACCCGGAGCATCAGAAGACTGCGGGGGCCGGGAAGGAGAAGTGCTGCTACTTCTTCTGGCAGGGCCGCAACTCCACCGTCAGCGAGAAGGGAACGTCGGCGCTGATGACGGTGGAGCTGGACGAGGAACGGGGAGCACAGGTACGTGAAAGAGTGTGTATGGGTTTATGTCGTATATGTGTGCCAGGAAAAGTCTAAGTAATTATTTTGTACGGATAATTGTGTGATCTTTACTCCACCTCCCGTTTCGTTTTCCTCTTCCTCCAGGTTCAGGTCCAGCAGGGTAAGGAGCCTCCGTGTTTCCTGCAGTGCTTCAAAGGAGGGATGGTGGTCCACTCTGGGAAGAGAGAAGAGGAGGAGGAGAACTCACAGAGTGAGCCTGCATTACTGACAAACACACTCTGCTGCTGCGCCATCATTTTCAAATAAGACAAATTCTCACTATTAGTGACAAGCTACACTTCAGCCAAGAGTTTTTCTTTAAAAAATTAGATTTTACTAATGTACGTCCCCCTGTCCCCCCCAGGTGACTGGCGTCTGTACTGCGTGCGGGGGGAGGCGGAGGTGGAGGGCCACCTGCTGGAGGTGGCCTGTCACTGCAGCAGCCTGCGCTCCAGGGTCTCAATGGTGCTCCTGAGCGCGAGCCAGGCCCTCATCTATCTGTGGCACGGCTGCAAGTCTCAAACGCACACGCGGGAGGTGGCGCGCACCGCCGCCAACCAAATCAAACAGCAGTAAGTGGAACCTTGATTGCCTCCCCCCTTAAAGTGACACCAGAGGTTAAATTCCAACTAGCGGGATCGGCTCAATTTCACTTCCGACTACAAATAACCAAAGCACTTTTGTTGCTGAGATGAATCCATTTCTGATTTGTTCTCCTGCTGTCGTTATCAGCCAGTGTGACGTGTTTTTCCTTGTGCAGTTGTCCTCTGGAAACCGGCCTCCACAGCAGCAGCAAGGTGACCATCCGGGAGTGCGACGAGGGAGCAGAGCCCGCGGGATTCTGGGAGCCCCTTGGGAGGAGGGACAGGAAGGCGTACGACTGCATGCTGCAAGGTGGGGGGAGCCGATGAGCACGAAGCCCAATCCCGTTTTCTCTCTACCGTAAACAGCTGCGGTTGGTGTAATTAACTGCTTTGGTTGACCTTTGACCCTCAGACCCAGGGCGGTTTAACTTCTCACCACGTCTGTACCAGCTGAGCAGCAGCTCAGGGGAGTTCGCAGCAGTGGAGTTTCTTTACCCCGCCAGAGACCCCAAGGAGGTCAACTCCATGCCCTTCCTGCAGGAGGATCTTTACGCGGCTTCCCAGCCAGGTACACGCGAGCATTTGTCCTACTGTACATGTGAAGGTAATAACTCTACATTGTATTTAGAGGGTGCTTTTCAACATAATCAAAGATGATTCCCATTTCCAGCTGACCACAGCCTCATTTGTTGGACTTTACTGGATGTCTGAGGCCAATTCTGACATCAACTTTTGAGATTTAAGATCTGAATAGAATCAGAATATCTGATAGAAACATTCCCTTGAATTTGGTTATTTAACAATTGTGAATAGAATATGTTCTGAGTGAGATAATTTACGCTTAATAAATGTACTTCTAAATGACTTGACCTGGTCTGCACATCCGGTATTACCATCAGCAATCTAACCATTCATCGACCTCACCATCTCTGACCACCTGGCTATCACCTTGGACATAGACATCCCCAACCCCCATGTTAAGCAGAATCGCACCATAACATTCCGGAACATCAAGTCTATCAACATCTCCTCGCTCTCCTCCACCTTGGCTGCCACTGTCTCTGCCTCTGCCCCTATTTCGACTGCCTCCCCCACTGCCCTGGTCAAGTACTATAATGATGCACTCTCCTCCTGTCTTGACGTCATCGCCCCCAAAAAATCCAAACTCATCTCCTTCACCCACTCCGCCCCCTGGTACACTGACCGACTTCACCTCCTCAAAGTGCAGGGCCATCAACTGGAACGTCTTGCCAACAAAACTGGACTTACTGTTCACCTTGATGCCTTCAAACTCCACCAACAACAATATAAAGATGCCCTGAACACCGCTCGCTCCTCTCACTACTCCTCCATCATCCAATCTGGCTCCAACAACCCCAAAACGCTTTTCTCCACCATCAACAAACTCCTCAAGCCCATGGACACCATCTCCACCTCCCTCACCACCACCAAATGCAACTCATCTCTATCCTTCTTCAACGACAAAATCACTGCAATACACAACCAGCTGGCAGCCCCCACCAACCCCCCCAAGCCCTCAACATGACTCTCCCCTACTTCCAAGCCACTCACTCTCATCCTTCAGTTCAATCACTGAAATGGACCTCTCCTCCATACTCTCCAGCATGAAGACCTCCACCTGTGCCCTTGACCCCCTCCCCTCTTCCTTAGTTAAGGCCTGCCTCCCCACACTCTCCGCTCTCTTATCATCAACTCCTCACTGTCTTCAGGTCTCGTACCCCCCACACTCAGATCGCTGCTGTCACCCCCGTGCTGAAAAAAACTGGTCTTCTACCACGACATCCCCAACAACTACCGGCCCATCTCCAACCTCCCCTACCTGTCCAAAGTCCTTGAGAGAGCTGTTGCATCACAACTCAAGTCCCACCTCAATCTCAATAATCTCTACGAACCCTTCCAATCCAGCTTCCATTCAAAACACAGCACAGAAACCGCCCTACTGAAAGTCACAAATGACATACTTCTCTCTGCTGACTCTGGCTTCCTCACCATCCTCATCCTCCTCGACCTCAGCGCCGCCTTCGACACCATCAACCATTGCATCCTCCTCTCACGTCTCCAGTACTCCCTTGGCATAACTGGCATTGCCCTCTCTTGGTTCACCTCATATCTCTCAGACCGACTTCAATTCAATGCAATAAACAACTGTAAATCCTCTACCTCCCCAGTCACCCACGGTGTCCCCCAAGGTTCTGTGCTTCTGTGCTCCCCTCCTCTTCATCATTTACATCCTTCCCCTTGGACAAATCATCCGTCGTCATGGTCTCAACTTCCACTGCTACGCTGATGACACCCAACTCTACTTCTCCTCCAAGACCATCACCTCCGTCACCCACTCCACTCTCACCACCTGTCTCACTGATATAAAATCATGGATGCAACAGAACTTTCTCAAACTCAACTGCAATAAATCTGAAATACTCATCATCGGCCCTAACTCCCTCACCCGTTCAGCTCAGCCCTTCTCCCTCAACATTGATGGCTCCATCGTCACCCCCTCCACCCAGGTCCGCAACCTCGGTATCATCCTCGACCCCACCCTCTCTTTCCTACCCCAAGCTAACCACATCACCAAGACTGCCTTCTTTCACCTCAGGAACATTGCACACCTCCGACCTTCCCTGTCCTCTGCCACCACCGAAATACTCATCCATGCCCCCATAACCTCCAGACTCGACTACTGCAACAGCATCCTCTATGGTTCTCCCAACAAAATCCTCAATAAACTCCAATATGTTCAGAACTCTGCCGCTCGACTGCTCACTTCCACCCGCCGCTATGATCACATCACCCCGGTCCTTCGCAACCTCCACTGGCTCCCGGTCAAATTCAGAATAGACTTCAAAATACTACTCACCACCTACAAAGCTCTAAACAACCTGGCCCCTCCCTACCTTTCAGACCTCCTCCCCCTCCATGCCCCAACCCGTTGCCTCAGGTCCGCCGGTGCAAACACTCTGAAGACCATCAGGACCAAGCGCCGGACCTGGGGTGACAGGGCCTTCTCAGCTGCTGCACCTCCCCTCTGGAACGCCCTCCCCATCCACATCCGTGAGGCTCCCTCCCTGTCATCATGCAAACAAGCCCTCAAAACCCACCTCTTCAAACTCGCCTTCACCTGCTAACCCCTGCACCCTACCCTCCCATTCCGCACAGCTTCTCCAGTTATTCTTTTTTTTACCAAAATGTTCTGTTTGTTTGTTTTGTTTGCTCCTCTGTCTTTCTTTTTTTTGTTTTGTTTGTTTGTTCCGTTTGTCTTTGCCCTGTAAAGCGTCTGTGTATTTTGAAAAGCGCTATAGAAAATCGATGTATTATTATTACCTCCAACACTTTGTGTTACTTATCGACTAACTTATACATCAGTATATATGCCAAAAGCTGAAATCAGCTAATGTATGTGAAGGTGGTTGCCTATGGGAAAGTGTGTGCAGCTAGGAGTCAGGGCTCTGTATCGGAAATATCGCTGTGTGTGTGTTTTCATCCATTAATAACATGAGCAAGTCATCCAAAACTTAGCCTTTTTTTCTCTCCATCCTCAACTTGGGAACCTAAATCTAAAAAATGATGAGCAGCCACTTTACGAAATCGTCCTCACACTGAAAGGCCTCACCTTGTTTTCTTTCCCCGATGTTCAGCCCTGTTCCTGGTGGACAACCACCATGAGGTGTATCTGTGGCAGGGCTGGTGGCCGCAGGACAGCGAAAGCCCCGGCTCAGCCCGAATCCGCTGGGACTCGGACAGGAAGTGTGCCATGGAGACAGTGCTGCAGTACTGCAAAGGTACTCCACTTCATGCTATTATTAGACACAGAAAACACTTTCACCTACAACTGCGTAGTAGGGCTATTGAAGGTGAAAGAAATACATAAATACAGAGCCGGGAAAGGGAGGTAATGTTCTGAGAAAAAATTCACAAATTTTACAGGAATAAAACTTGAATATTCTCTGAGATTCACAAATATACATGAACAATGGTGTGTTTTTGTCAAGGAACCACATTGTTTTACTTTGCAAGGGTGAATCAACCTCATCACAACAGCGACGGTCTGAATTTGGTTACGTCTAAAGTAGTATTGTTCTGGTAAGGGTGGCCTCTGAGGGAGGCAAAGGTCCTGAAAGATGCATATACGCATTTTCTTTCATGTTATTTTACAAGCATAATGCAGACATCAGTATGCATTGCGCTTTGTCCTCATGTTAGACATGTTTTATTTCCACATGTCCTCTCTGATAAACAGCATATTGTTTCGTCTCCACAGAAAAGAATGAGAAGAAGCCTCCCAAAGCGTACCTGATCCATGCCGGTCTGGAGCCTCTCACCTTCACCAACATGTTCCCCAGCTGGGAGCACAGAGAAGACATCGCTGAGATCACTGAGAGGGTGTGGATCAAATCACATTATAAGATGACTCCCGACTACATCATCTGATATGAACCAGTGCTGCTCACAGTGTCTGCCTGTAGCCATTAGTGTATATACTGTACTGAACACACATGCACTTGTTAGGTTCAAGGAACCTCTAGACTGTGGGAGAGACCGCATGGTCCGGCCTCTGCTACAAAGTCAGCCGGTTTCAATTATAAACAAAAGTATATAATACTTCTGAAGCTAATACAATTACATAGTGAAGTACATTATTTACAGTTACATAAAATATGACCCGTGCCTCACCCCGAAAGCGTTACCACCCACACGGTGGAACAGGAGAAAGAGACCGGAAGTTCTTTCTCTCCCGCCTTACATAGTTCAAAAAACATCCCATAATGTCCGTAGTTCCTATTGGCTAAATCCAGCTGGCTCCTCCTTCTCGCAGGACCCTCGCACAGGTATGACCTGTAAATGCCTGTCTGACCCTTGTCTACTAATCAGTTTAATACATTCAATGACTGTCTTTTATGGCTAAACACTTCTAATTATGATTTCTTAATTATGAATCATTAAACACTTCTATTATAATTTCTTAAAGCACACTTCTAAACCTATATTTCCTACACACTTGGTGTACGAAAAGAGACTTTTATGAATATAGGTCAGTCCAGGTGTAAGACACGATCCATCATTTGCGTTGAAAGGTAATATATTGTGTGTGTGTGTTGTCAGGAGGCTGAAGTGTGTAACCAGATTATCTTAGTGGAGGACGTGTTGGCCCGGCTGTGTAAGACCATGTACCCACTGGCAGATCTTCTGGCTCGGCCGCTGCCTGAGGGTGTTGACCCTCTTCGTCTGGAGGTCTATCTGTCTGAAGAGGACTTTGAGGTGAGAACCTGCAGTCTACAGACTGTCTCTGATGTTACTCTAGAGGTGCCACATGTTTCTTGCCACCTAATTTCTTATCCTCAGAAGGTGGCTGAGAAAAAGCTCTAATAAAGTCACTGTACACCACCTGCCCAGCACCAAATGACAACCAGAACTAGTTGCCTACCTGCAGTTGAACAAAGTGGAGCCTTTAGCAGCTAAAGAGTCAAATATTTATTGGTGGAAACCAAAAACGGAGCTAAAAGAGAGTGAATGAAGGACTTCCATCCATCAGATGGAACGAAACATGACTACAAATGAATGCTAATATTGCTCTGTGTTTGCTGGATCTGCAAATAAGCAACTGTTGCTAACACAGCAGCCTTGTAAACTTGACCATAAGAGGTGTGATTTACAGATCGTCATGACCCCGAGTGGCCACAAAAACTGATTAGTACTGCTTTAAAGTACAGATTGATATACTGTTATGTATTTTGCACCTTTAAATGATGAGACTGGTGTTTAACATTCATCTTATTGCCAATAAATCCTCATGGAAACAGAACAGAACAGAGGAATAAGACTTACCAAGCAACTCATTCATCGTTGGGTTTGGTCTTTTCATTGGATTCATTAACAATAAGGAGAATATACAATAAGACGGGCTTTATCCTTTAACTTTGAGCTTTCATTGTGTTTACTCTAATATGACTTTCTGGAAGATTCTTGTTTAGAAATACTTGAAGTTATAGAAATATTATGGATCACTTTCTGGGAATATTTGATGTTCCTTGTGTGTTATCTATGGCTACATGCATCATTCAGCTTTCACCTTATGTTCATGGCTCTCTTCCTCTTTCTTTTCCCAATCTCGTCTTTCATCATGTGCATCTTCTTGTCTTTCTGTGAACTTATCTATTCATTCATTCCACCCTCCAGGGTGTAGGGGCTTATGGGAAGGTGAGTCCTCTGGCTTGAGCATGGATGACCTGGACTAGTGCTCCTGTTGCACAGCATCCTCACTCAACTCAGCCATAAACCATTTTCTATCCAACTCTTCCTCGTTGCTTATTTTTTTTTTTTTTTTACATTTTCTCTCTGATAAAATATCTAACTCCTAATTTGTTCATTAGCATGCTGTTCACTCACGTGTTGACGTCGTACTGAATCCTGGAGATATGAGATCTGTGACCGTGTTTTACTGGAGATGCCAACTGAGGAATGAGTGCTGTGTTCTCCAACTCACTGACGCATGAGTGTGTTCTCAGATGTTACTCATTCCTCGCCGTGCGAGCTGCAGGATGTGTCGGTTCTTAGAGATGCACTGATCGATCGGGCGCCGCTCTAAACCGGCTGGTCGTCGGCTGATCTGTAATGACATCAAATTTTCACACACATGTGTCACATGATCTCACTTAGTGTACACAGCGGCACAGACCGTAATGTCTCACACACACACACACACACACACATTATGTCGTAAGTGTGAAACTTCTTCAACACGAGATTAGAAGACATTAAGCTCGCAAACTTTCTCAAAATGGGCAGTAGAGAAACAGCCTTAAAACATTTGAAAAACTATTAACATCAAAGTACAAATAAAAA